TATATATTCAAAAAAGTCGATCTGTGCGCAGACCCAGGATCGAGAGTGGCGTGGGTGGGGGACCCTAAGACGCCGTCCCTGAGGGTGGATCCGGGAGGGAGGGCGCAGGTGGAAGTCCCTGGCCATCCCCCCTGCGTGAGGAAGGATTCGGGAGGCCCTTGCTATTACTTCGGCCACAGCCACAACCCTGTGGAGCCTCCTCCTCCCCGCTGCGATGACCTCGGCCTGATCGTGTTTTGTGACGAGGTCGTGACCGAAGCGCAGCGTAAGTGGTGTGTGGGCTGCTGGTATCGTCTCGGTGTGCGTTTGCGTTCGGGTCGTTTCTCTGTTTGCTGGTATGGGTATGTGTCTTTTTCTTCTATTTCTGTTTCTTTTTTTGTCTGTCTGTCTGTCTGTCTGTCTCTCTCTCTCTCTCTCTCTCTCTCTCTCTCTCTCTCTCTCTCTCCCTTCCTCCCTTTCTCTTACCCTCCCTCTTATCTCCATCCCATCCTCTTTTCTATCCTTTTATCCATTTTTCCTGTTTGACTTTGTCTTTTTTCCCATATGCCTTTCCTCTATTTATCTGCGTCTCGCTCTCTCCTCTTCCTCTCTCTTTCCCTCTTTCCATCACCCCCTCTCTCGTGCACAGAATATATTTTTATGAATATATTACACTAAAAGTCATTCTCTATTTATTGTCTCTATTCATATAATATTTATACAAGTTTTAGAATAATGACGGTACATATACAGGTAACAGATAAAAAAAAACAATGGCAGGTTTATAAGAGACATCTAAACTATGTATCTGTAATGAAATTTTTAAATAAAAACGGGATATTTACTGTTAACAGAAAAAAATGAATAGTATGTTAGATTTATAGAAACAGCAAGTATTCCTTAAAATGGGGTTGTATATATAAGTAAGTTCATCCCTTAAACAGAAGGCGATCCTTAAGTTACACATAAACCGTCTCTCTCTGTACTTGGGAAATCCCTTGGTATTTTTTTTATCCCTTTTAATTCAATAACACGAACCTACGTCGTTGCTGCTTACGGAAACTTAACACGAGCTTCATCTTCGCCCAAAAAAGAACCGGAGAGTCCCACCGACCTGCAGCTTTACAACCGAGAGGTCCTGCGAGTCTTCCTCAGTTCTTCCACAATTCGTACCGAGGTGGTCGTCTCCATACCCGAGAACGACACGGTCTTATCCCCCGACGACTATGCCTGCCAAGAGTCGTACTGGCATACATGTGTGCAGTTGGTGGACGTCCCTGAGAGCTTAGATTACCTCTACATCATAGCTGTTGATTTGGACGAGGAGGGTTATGCGAACGTGTCCAGCGGAGATCTGTTTGAAGGTGGGTGAGCGCTGTCGAAGTTCCGTGGTCTAATTTACTTATTTTTTTTTTTCTTTACTTGCTTTTTTCTCTTTGTCTCTGTCTATTTATATGAAGATATATGCACGTATGTGTATATATATATATTTTCTGTCTTTTTTCATTTATTAATTCAAATATCTTTTATTTATTCATATCGTTCTTTTCCTTTTTTCTATTTTCTCTCTCTCCCTCTCTGTCTTTCTTATTCTCTCTCTCTGTCTCTCTTTCTGTCTGTTTCTCTGTCTCTCCCTCTCCCTCTCATTCTCTCTCTCTCCCTCTCCCTCTCATTCTCTCTCTCCCCCTCTCCCTCTCATTCTCTCTCTCTATATATGTATTTATATATACACACATATTTCACACATACACCTAATTCCTTCCTCCCGCCAGTGTTCAAGGCCCGCGTCGTCCGCCTGGCCCACGACGTCTACGAAGTGATCCCCGACCCCTCGAACTCCCCCGGGAACTACAGCGTGTTCCTGAACGCCAACGCCTTCGTGTCCTGCGGCGGCGACGGGGCTCAGGAGGACTCGGGGTGCCGCGTGTACTTCGACAAAGTGATCTATGATTATAACTTTACGCTGACGAAGGGCTGGAACCTCAACATGGTGATTTATCCGGTGTCTGAGGAAGGTCAGTTTTCGTTATATTTAGAATGTTATTATTATTATTATTTTTTTTTAATGATGTTTTGGGCAGATTGAATAGTGCTGTCTTTACGTGTGTTCCGCGGTATAAATTCAACATAAAAATATATTCTTATTGATGTAAAAAATATATTATGATGTAAAGAGAAAAACTCCCTATACGCAGATCAGATGCATATACAATAGGATGTATACATGCCCTCATGATGCCATAACCTGGACTACAATTCTTCACAACCTCCTCAGATCCTCCGCCAAGCACAAAGATTTACAGCATCACCTCTTTGAACGAAAGTTCTACGAAGATGAGGGTACAGATCCAAAGCCCCAGGACTGTCGCAAAGGCCGAGTTTATCTTATTCGAGGACTACGTCGCCACGAGCAGCCAGGAGGTCGAGGTGTACCTTTCAGATTCGGGTTACGTTGTGGACGTGCCCGCGTGCGAAGGGAAATGCGAGTTCGTGATCCTGGGTTACGGGGTCGATGGGTCTCTGGTAGAGACTGGGGAAGCCTACGTAAACCTTGAAGGTGGGCGTCTCCCTGTTCTCTCTCACCCTTACGTATCTGTCAAAAAAACAAAGAAAAAATATCCTGGTTATTTTGCCCTGTTTCTCCATTACTTACAAAGATGCCCTGAGGAACGGCAGCGCTGGCTCGTACTGTTGTAGTCTCTGTCGTTCATTCCAGACCTGGATGTGGACGTCGCTGAGGTGGGCAGGGAAGACGAGCAGGGCAATTCGTCCCTTCGAGTGGAAACCACCGGGGACACCGAAGTTATAGTTGAGGGCGTGGGGAAATGCAAATGGTATAGCAGCCCTTGCTACTTCTTCCAACTTGCAAGGGAGACAGTGGAGTCTGCAACGTACTGCGTCAACATTACCACGTTACCCATTTACGGCCTCAATAGAACGTGGGTCTATCACTGCAGCGATTCTATGACGCCTTACAGGGGTGAGTTCAGTTCCTTCCTCTTCCAGTACAGGATTTGGTTTCTTAGTTGTAGACTGCAAGCAAGCATTTAAATCACACTGTTGATACTGGATCTCTGTGTAGATACAAGTAGATGCACATTTTGTTGACATACGATATATTTCTTGATGGGTAACCAAGAGAGAAACACATGAAAAATCGAAGTTCTACCTCACAGAACTCCCAGGCATCTTCTCCGTGTCCATGGTAAACAATTACAAGATGGTGGTGAGTGGCAGCTTCCCTACCAACTTTACAGAGGTCGTGGTGTTCGACCCGAATACACCTGAACAAGAGGTCTCTACCGGACACACAGAGTGTTCTAAAGTGACTGAGACTACAACAGATTGCACGTGTATTATCAATCGACCAGATGATGAAAGTCCTCTGAGGGTGTTGGTGACAGCGCTAGACAGCAATGGAACTGTTTTGAGTTCGGTGATGATGACCTACGAGTATACGTGTAAGTGTTGAAAAAAAGTTTGCTGACAGATGGATACCTTGAAATCAGCTGCACCTGTCAATCTTGAGAAAATGTTTGTAGGCAGATGGATCCATGGATTAGCTGATAAAGCGTTTGTAGATAGGTAGATCAGCCTAGAATACGTACACTTGGAAGTTTTGAGGAAACGCTTGTCGACAGGAGGAGCAGTCTCGATTATCCAGACATACAAGTCCTGACAAAACGTTTATAGACGTGTGGAATAGTCTAACTATTGTCTTCTTTGAGGATCACTTTACGATCGCATCATATGATTCGACTTCAAAACCGCATCTCATATCAGGATACAATATAACATCAAAACTTCATAATATCTGAAAGAAGAACCTCCAGCAATTGGTGAGGTTTTATGACGTAAACACAGTAGTTTATATATGATGCATGTCCTACAATGCTCCCAAATGGTAATTGGGATTTGTTATTTAGAAAAAAAAAACTTATTATCCGGTTATTGGTTTTGATTAAAAGAAAATGTTATTAGTTATGAAGTGTTTCAACAACAAGAATAATAACAGTAAAAACAATGATAAGGATAATAATGATAGTAATATTTTTATTACGATGATGACAATAATGATGATAAGGCCACTGCAATTTTTTATTGTTTAGCGAGCAGATTTTCTGGAAGTAGGAAGTAGGAGGTAGGAAAAAAAATAAAGATAAAATTCTCTTCTGAGTTTTTTTTCTTTTCTTTACAGGACATTTCCACTGAGATTTATATGCGGGAAAAATAAAAATAAAATTTTGAAAGGCCACGCCTTCAAAAAAGGGCTTTTACAAATTTTTAAAACCTCAATTTTATTTTCTTCACATTTCGCGAAAAGTGAATGCGGCGGGCTCGCTAAACAATAAAAAATTGCAGTGGCCTAATCATAATCACAATCATAATCATGATAATGATAATGATGCTAATGGTAATGATGAAGATGAAGATAATAGTAATAATAACAATGATAATGATAATAATAATAGTAATGATAGCCTAATAATGATGATGATAATAATAACAGTAACAACATAAAGCAACAACAATAAATGTATTATTCTATCAAAACAATAATAAAAATAATAACAAAACAACAACAACAATAATAACAATAATAATAATAACAGTATTTTGCCAACCCACACAGACCCCAAGAAGACGACGCCCACCTGGGTTATCGTTGTGTCAGTGGTTGGTTGTCTGGTCGTCGTTACTGCAGTTGCCTCTGTCTTCTGCCGGTAAGTCCTCTGTACCTTATACGTTGCTGGATCGTATGTGTATATATGTATAATATGAATGTGGATGTAAGAGTATATATATGTGTGTGTTTGTGTGTGTATACATATATATGTATATATACATGTATATGTATATATATTCACACATATATAAGCATATAAACTGCTTAAAATGGAACTAAACTATTGCCAATAAGTGATATATAGTAAGCATATAATAAGTAATTAAATAACCTTCATTTTTTATTTCTTCAGAAAGAAGAAACAGTGAAGATGAATTTTGTCCACGTAAAAAAAAAAAAAAAAAAAAAAAAAAAAACTTGTAAGTTAAGTGAAAAAATGTATTACAAAAAGAAAGAAAACTTTTGGCTTTTGGTAGATTTTTTTTTATTGTAGGGATATTAGCTTTTCATTTTCTTTTATTAATTAATATTTGTTCTGGGGTGTATCCATGATTTGCATAAAAAAGTGGTTAATGAAGTGAGTAACACTGTTATATCATTGATATTATCATTATTGCTGTCATTATTATTAATATTACTATTGTTTTCTTTATATTAATATCATTAACATTACCATTATTATTATGACCAAGGTCATGTTATTAGTATCAATATTATTGCTGTTATTGATAATAATCAGTATTGTTTTTATTATCATTCCTATTATTGATGTTATCACGTGTCATTATCAATCTCATCAATAATATCAAAGTGATTATTATTTCTACTAAACTATCGTTTTGATTTTGATGTTTTTAATATTCTCTTTCATGTTAGAGTATATCTAAAATTCTTCCTTTCATACCCAACACAGTATCGGTAACTTGAACTAACTAGATATATACTTTTATGATTTCGAAATGGGATGCAACTCTTTCCCAATATTCCTCATGAATCACAGTCCATGGTATTGTGTTACTCTGTGACAAAGATACCATTTGTTTGTTACCAAATACATGTAGTTTTTCAGTTTTTGATTGAGAAAAGTAGGAGTTTTAAGGACTGGTGGGCGTCATATCTTCTGAAGTACTTGCATCTACAAAATTTGAAGTTTCTTGTACCAAACATACAATTAAAGAAAAAGTATCGTTACCCTTTGCACGAACTAGAATGACAAAGCGTTCAGTTCCTCCTTGACCAAGTAAAGAAGAGATATCATTAAAAATTCATATACTTTCATTTGAGTGTAGCATCATTCCAGCATACCTTCCTGCCACTTGGTATGGTGGAATTGCCCTTCGCAGTGCTCAGAAAGCCTTGGATATATACATAATGTTTACTTTATATGAATAAGATCTGTCAACAGATGGCAGTGACCTAAATCAGATGTAGAGAGAAGAGGTATTATGTAGATTGTAATAGATCAAAGGATCTAAAAATAAAAATATAAGTTAATTATGAATTCTGAGAAGGGAATGAGATAATATATAAAAAACAAAGCCTTGACTGTAACCTAAGATATACATTTTTAAGAACAGTGACATTGCATATTCCCGTAACACTTGATACATCACCAGTTACATCAAGATGCAGTCCTCAACCCAGTTATGATGGTTTATCTTATGACAAACTATGCTGGGTGTCGGGTGCAGTCAGCCGCTGGAGTGAAAGTTAGAGGCACCGGAAACATATGATTTACATAGAAAGAGGGATCTGGAAAACATGGAGGGTAACAAAGATATCTTCTGGATTATGATATGAAACCAGAATAGTAATGATAGTCAATGTGAGTGCGTAAGGATTTTTCCAAATGGTGTATGGAGGTTTTCACACTCACCCAGTATCTCACAACTAATATTAGAAACTGAGGAACACTAGGTAATGAAAAAAATGAAAAAGAAAAAAATATATATAAAATACGAAGACGGAAAAAAGACAAAACTACATGATTTACAATGTTGATAGTGTATATGTAACTGTAACAAAAAGAAAGTGGAAAATGATACAAAATATCACATACAAGAACTCATCAACAACACAGCACTGTCTCCTCTAAATGTAATAAAAATAAGCATATTTTTCTTCGTGTTTTCATTTTCACACAGCCACAGCACTGCACAGAAGTTAATATTTGTTGCATTCAAATTGCACAGCTGACCATGCTATTATTCAAGGCAACATTACCTCGATGATTCAGCAACACAGTCTTATGTGAAAAGAGGTATCAGATACTTACTGATGCTTACAGATGCTTACCTGTTCCATTACTGTATATGGACCTGACAGTGAACAGTCTCTTTTTATGCTGACTACAAAATCTTGGTTCCCTTATGTCAGTTTAGGTCTGTTTTTGTGTACACATTACTTTATAATTATTAGCATTTTTTTGGTATAATTATTTTACAAATCATAGAATTTCAAATTTTGAGGAATTATTAGTTTGAATTTTACATGAAGTTGTCTATTTAATTGGTGCTTATTTCGCATATAGGATATTCTTGAACTCCAGCATTCTAATGAAAATTGTATCAAAATGAGACGCACAGCATTGAAATTAATGAGCGCTGTAATGTATTTTTTTCTTTTTTTTTGTCAGACCAACTTGAAACTCGGAGCCACAGAGGCATAACCTTGATTCAACCAATTTTTGCTGGATTTTTTTTCTCTTCAATTTTCTTTTCTCTTTAGCATAAATGTTGATCTCTGCCAAGTCTGTAAACTTGCAGAAGAATTCGAAAACAAACCGATCTTATTTCATTTTATCAAGAAGCATATTGTAGGTATAATCACATGTAATACTGGCTGTAGTAATGTAAATTGTACAGAAATAGTAAAGAAATAGATGTGTGTTTTCCATGACCTCAGATACAGCATATTATATCTAATGTAATGACCATGTTAGCACACTCATGAAATGGTGGTTTCCACCAAAATATACTACATAAATATTTGTTTTTTCTTTTTATTACATATGTTTTATCAACATTGTCTTTCTCAGCAGTTCTAAATTTTGTATAATGATATATGCATTTATTTTATTCATTAATGTGTGTTTATGATGTGTCTCAAACATTTGCGATTCCAGCGATATAGGGTCTATGTTATGAAAACTATCTTCTCAGGGGATGACAGAAAGAAAACTACGTAACCTCACACTAGTGCATTACATATGCATAAAAATCTTCATGTTTATGCCACCAAACGGAGGGCGTTGATGACCTCTTCTAAGAGCTGATGGTATGGGAAACTTGGCTGCTTTGAACACCGTGATTTTGAACATCGTGTCTCTTCATCGGTAAAAAAAACTTCATGAACTAGTGAAATATCAATTACTTCCTTTTAAAAGCTACAGAGGACTGTGATTCAACATAATGGAGATAAAGAGAGAGGTGAGACAAGGCTAGACAAAATGAGGAGAAAAGAGGAGACCGACAAGTAAAGGCAAGTGAAAAGGAAGGACAGGATAAGGAGGAAAAAAACAAGAAGAGAGAAAAGAGAAGAGAAGAGAGAAAAAAAAGAGAAGAGGAGAGAAGGAAAAAACAGGGGAGGATATAACAGGACAAGAGAAAAACTAAAATAAAAGTAAAAACAGAGAGGAAAAGAGAAAAGAGAAGAAAAGCCCCCAATCAGTTCTAAGAAAAGAAAAGAAAAAAAGCCAAATCACTCTAAATGGATTTAACACTTATCATAGTGAAGCATACTATATATATATACCTAACTATGTATTACATATTTGTACATTATATATATATATATATATATATATATATATATATATATATATATATATATATATATATATAATTACATATTATATATATGTATATATTTATGATTATGAATATATATATTTATATGTACATATATTATATATGTACGAGCGTGCGCGCGTGTGTATATATACATATATATTGTTAATACTGTTGTTATCTCATCCATGACGAAGCATCCCACGACCCACAGGACTCTCCATGCAACCTCCACTCGTTCGCAACCATGCATTTGGGAACCAATGTTGTAGAATATGCAGTGCGCTGAGGTCACTGAGTCTCGTGTAAAAGCACAACGGACGTGCTTGTCATCCCACCTCTGGTTACTGATTACACTGATAAGTAAAGCAACGTATCTGCCTTATTTTAAAAATAAGGAAAGAGAGAGAGAGAGAGAGAGAGAGAGAGATAGAGAATGAGTAAGAAGAGAGAGAGGGAATGAGGAAGAGAGAAACAGAGACAGAGACAGAAACAGACAGAGAGAGATAGTATAATAATGACACAGAGACAGACAAAGAGACAAACAGTCACAAACAAGGAAGGAGAGAGATAACCACACAAACCAAGATAACCGGGACCCACACAACCACGTCCTCAGCAAAGCTTATAGCCTTCCAAGAGGACTACAGTTATCTTTAATATGTTGATGCTAGATGCAGCTCCTCTTTCCCTTATACATAAGGACTGGTAAATGAACAACACAGTATGCAACGCTCTGTATCAGTGGTACTTTCATTCGCGTTTTTCCTTTGAACATTTGAAGATTTTTTTTTTTATTTGAAACAGAAAATAAAATCGGCGCAGCAAATCTATTATTTTTTTTTTGTAAAGAATAGAAACTGGACCTGGGCTTTTAAACTAGCCGTAGGTACACTTTCTTTAATGATAATAATAATAATGATAATAATACTACAGAAACAGGTGCTACAAACACTACAACTAAGCATCACAGCCGAGCGAAGGAACGTCATAGATTATTTTCCTATTACTTCGTGCTCTGTTGAGTAGTCTGTTAAAAAAAGTACAGATACATGCAAATACATACATTAACAAATACAAATACATCCGGATACATACATTAACAAGTACATATACATGCAGATACATACATTAACAAGTACATATACATGCAGATACATACATTAACAAATATAAATACATGGAAATACAGACACGTACATATATGTTGGTAGGAAAATTGCCAAAAGATATACCCATGCCATGTTGACATCACGTTCATTGCATCATCTGATACTAACAAAAACATACTGACATGTATTTTATTGAATCACCTGATATGCATGTTATCTGTTTCACGAGAGTATTGTCCAAAATAAATGAAATAAACTTTACCATGTTGATAGTTTGGTAGAAAAAAAACAAAATGCACAAACTATATTTACTGAAAAATGAGACACTTTCGAAATTCTTTTTTTATGTACATGTCTGACGAGAAAAAGGGAAAATATAAAACATAAAATAACGTAAATTTCATATATATTGATGAACTGAATAGAACGTTAGGCGTTCTTTAAACATAGAAATGGAAATGAATTAACGAATAAAGAAATTAAACCAAATGTGCTTGTACAGTTTTATTTATATATAGAGAGGGAAAGAGAGTGAGCGAGTAAAAAGTGGAGTGAGGGAGAGAGAAAGAGAATTTTGTTTCCCATTTTATATTGTTTTCAGAATCCCCCTCCCTCGCTTCTATTTTTCAACACGCTTATCTAACTCACTTATCTGCACTTATTTCAAGGTTCAACCACAAATAGACGACAGAGCGTAAACAGGTTCCAAACGAAGAAGGTCTGGTTGACACTACCAAACATCCATTTGTTCTACAAGTTGGTTGATTTTTTTTTCTTCTTCTCTTCGCCCTGGCGACTTCAACATTACAACCTGGTTTTAAGTCGTTAATCAATGGGTTTATCATAATTGTGTTTTCAGCAGAGCACGAATTGAAATGGCAGGGGGAGGAAGCACAGTATTTTGGAGTCTGTTTCTTGCTGTTGTGCTTCTAAGCAACAGTTGTTCCGTGCTTTGTGCAGATGGAGAGACAGCTGTTCAAGGTTAGTGTGTGGACGATATGCTAAAAGGCAGAATTTGTTTGTGAATTTTGCGTCAGTTTTGATTCGTATATCAAGTAAATAATTAGGTTTTATTGAAGAAAAAGTGACAAGAACATCTTAAAGGTCGAGTTTATTTGTGGTTTGTGTGGAGTGCTGAAGATTTGGAGACGTTATCAAAAGTATGTTGATAATTCTAATAGGCCCTTGTATGATTGCTAGGGATTGTGAAATGCGATCATATCCACACACCAAACATAGCGTACCAAATAGATTTATCAAATGACACACACAAAAAAACTTTCCAGCACTGACAAAAAATCCATACTAATTACTCCAATAGATTTATCAAGTGTCCACTCTTAAAGCAACAAAAAACTCATTCTCTCGGAAGGCGACGACCCCCTTCCCTCGCCCATCCCGCTGACCATCAAGGAAATCCACAAAGTGATGCGACACGACGACCCGAGCGGCAGACAGCAGAATATAAGGCTGGTTGTTGATGAGCACGACCCGATCTCAGGCGCCGAAACGTTGAGCCTGACTGTGCAAACGTTCGACAACGAGACGATTACATACGAAGCTGTCCAGGTACCGGATCCAAGTGCCACGGAATTCGAGTTCGAAGGGAATTTCGTTGACGCGAAGGCCATCTCCGTGGAAGCCAAAGGGAACGGGTCGACGCTGGCTTACGGCTCCGTCCACGCGGACGTTACAGGCGAGAAAACGTTTTCTGTTTTGGGGGTTGGTTTTGTGTGTGTGTATATATATATATATATATATATATATATATATATATATATATATATATATATATATGTTTATATATATATGTTTATATATATATACATATATATATATATATACACATATATATATGTGTGTGTGTTTATACATATATACGTATGTATGTATATACACAGATTTATATATATACATACATATATATATGTATATATATATATATATATATATATATATATATATATATATATATGCATATATATATATATACACACACATGTATGTACGTAGAGAGATGGATAGATGTATAGATATATAGACAGACAGATATATAAATAGACAGATAGATATATAAATAGATAGATAGACAGATAGATAAGTAGATGTGTGTGTGCATGCGTATGTGTGTGTGCCTGCACTTTAGTGTATGTTTATATATATATTCCAGTAGCGTAGCGAGGGGGGGGCAAGGGGGGGCAGCCGCCCCCCCAATGCTCAGAAAGTTGGTCTCTGAGAAAAGTGCAAATCTACAAATTTTATTGCACAAATGGCATAGCTCATTATAAGCCATCTAAAAAGAGCCGTTTTCCAGCATTCTAAGGGGCGTGGTCTTAAACTTTCCCGGGGGAAGATTCCCGGACCCCCTCCTATTTTTCTTACCTGTTTGCCCCCCCAATCTTCCCGCTCTGGCTACGCCACTGATGTATTCATGTGTATTTATTTATATGTATACATATATGTGTATAAATGTATGAATATATGTGTATATATGTATATATATGTATATACATATACATACGTACATATATATATATGTATGTGTGTATGTATATATACACATATATATGCATATATGTACATACACCCCCACACACAGATATATATAGATAGAAAGGCAGGAAGATAGATAGATAGATAAATAGATAGATAGATAGACTGACAAATAGATAGATAGATATACAGATAGATATATAAACAGACAGGTAGATAGGTAGATATATATATATAGATAGGTAGGTAGATAGATATATAGATAGATGGACAGATAGATAGATAGGCAGATAGATAGGTAGATAGATAGATAAGCAGATTGATAGACATACAGACAGATAGATAGGTAGATAGATAGATATATAGAAAGAAAGATAGATAGATAGATAGACAGATAGGAAGATAGATAGATAGACAGGCAGATAGATGGACAGATAGATATGTGTGTATGTGCCCCTCTTCATAAGAAAAGAGAGACAAGAAAGAAAAGAAAAATGCAGGCATATGAACAAAATTAAATATATTAAAAAAGTCGATCTCCCCGCGCAGACCCAGGATCGAGAGTGGCGTGGGTGGGGGACCCTAAGACGCCGTCCCTGAGGGTGGATCCGGGAGGGAGGGCGCAGGTGGAAGTCCCTGGCCATCCCCCCTGCGTGAGGAAGGATTCGGGAGGCCCTTGCTATTACTTCGGCCACAGCCACAGCCCTGTGGAGCCTCCTCCTCCCCGCTGCGATGACCTCGGCCTGATTGTGTTTTGTGACGAGGTCGTGACCGAAGCGCAGCGTAAGTGGTGTGTGGGCTGCTGGTATCGTCTCGGTGTGCGTTTGCGTTCGGGTCGTTTCTCTGTTTGCTGGTGTGGGTATGTGTCTTTTTCTGCTTCTGTCTTTTTTTTTGTTTGTTTGTTTGCATGTCTGTCTGTCTGTCTGTCTATGTTTTTCTCCCTCTCTTTCTCTCTCTCTCTATGTCTCTGTCTGTATGTCTCTCACTCCCTCCCTCCCTTTCTCTCACACTCTCGTATCCCCATCCCATCCTCTCTTCCCATATGCCTTTGCCTCTATCTGTCTGCACTTCGCTCTCTCCTCCCCTCCCCCTCTCTGTCTCTGCTTCCCCTGTTCTTTCTCTCTCCCTTTCCCTCTTTCCATTACCCCCCCCCCCCTCTCGTGCACATGTTTTTATGAATATGTTGCTCTAAAAGTCATTCTCTATCTATTGCCTCTATTCATATACTATCTATACAAGTTTTGGAATAAGGACGGTACATATACAGATCATAGTTGAAAAAGGCATAAGAGACTAACCGAGAACTATGTATCTATGATCAGATTTTGAAATAAAAGCGGGATATTTACATTTAATAGAAAAGAGAAAATAGTAAAATGGATTTAAAGGAACAATTATTCCTTAAAATGTTGGGGTTATATATATGAGTAAGTTCATCCCTTAAAACAGAAGGCAATCCTGAAGTTACACCTATGCCCTGTCTCTCTCTCTGTATTTGGGAAAGACTTGATATCTTTCTTTAATCCCTTTTGATTCAACAACATGAACCTACGTCGTTGCTGCTGACGGAAACTTAACACGAACTTCATCTTCGCCCAAAAAAGAACCAGAGGGTCACACACTCCGGGAGCTGTACAACCGAGAGGTCCTAAGAATCTTCGACCGTACCACAAATCGTACCGAGGTGGTCGTCTCCATACCCGAGAACGACACGATCTTATCCCCCGACGATTATGTCTGCCGAAACTCGTTCCGCGATATGTGTGTACAGGCCGTAGACGTTCCTGAGACCTTGGATTACCTCTACATTATAGCTGTTGATTTGGACGAGGAGGGCTATGCGAACGTGTCCGAAGGCGCCCTGTTTGAAGGTGGGTCGAAGTTCCGTGATGGTGGTCTAGTTTTTAAATTATTTTCTCTTCACTTCTTTCTCTCTCGCGCTCTCTCTATCTATATTAACACATATACACGCATATGTATATCTATTTATCTGTTCTGGCTTTACTTATTTATCTTTTATTTATTTATTCAGATATCTTTTTGGTATCTATTTCGTTCTTTTAATTTTCTCTTTTTTCTGTCTGTCACTCTGTCCCTGTATCTCTCTATCTTTCTGTCTTTGTCTCTGTATCCCTCTCTCTATCTATATATATACTTATACCCCCCAGTGTTGAAGGCCCGTCTTGTCCGCCTGGCCTACGACGTCTACGAAGTGATCCCCGATCCCTCGAACTCCCCCGGAAACTACAGCGTGTTCCTGAACAAATACGCCTTTGTGTCCTGCAGCGGCGACGGGCCTCAGGACTTGGGGTGTCGCGTGTACTTCGACAAAGTGATCAATTATCGTGAATTTACGCTGAGGAAGAACGGGCACTCTGACATTGTGAGTTATCCGGTGTCTGAGGAAGGTCAGTTGGGCTTAATGTCAGTTGGCGGGTTCGTGAATTTTCTTAGTTTGCTTGATGGGTTTATTAGAGAAAGAATCGCTATATGTAAACTAGATGCATGTACAGTAGAACGTATACATGACTTCATAATGCCATAAGCTGTTCACAACCTTCTCAGATCCTCCGCCAAGCTCAAAGATTTACAGCATCACCTCTTTGAGCGAAAGTTCTACGAAGATGAGGGTGCAGATCCAAAGTCCCAGGACTGTCGCGAAGGCCGAGTTTGTCTTATTCGAGAACTACGTCGCCACGAGCAGCCAGGAGATCGAGGTGTACCTTTCGGATTCGGGTTATATTGTGGACGTGCCCGCGTGCGAAGGGATATGCGACTTCGTAATCCTGGGTTACGGGGTCGATGGGTCTCTGGTAGAGACAGGACAAGCCTACGTAAAACTTGAAGGTGGGCGTCTCCCTGTTCTCTCTCACGTATTTTTGTCAAAAAAAGAAAAAAAAAAAAAAAAAGAAAAAAAAAAAATCATTCATTCCAGACCTGGATATGGACGTCGCCGAGGTGGGCAGGGAAGCCGAGCAGGACATTTCGTCCCTTCGAGTGG